AGAATTTTAATACATCAATCAATTTTAAAATTAATAATTTAAATAATAATAAAAAATTAATCAATTTTAAAAATGAGCTGGCTGGTCACGTGGCTAAATGTAAATATTTATTTAAATTAAATATTTAGATAATGAGTTTTTACCAATATAAAATAATGAAGAGTTGGTAAGTAGACAATAATTTTGAATAATAAAGTATTATTTTCAATTCTCTAAGACTTACAGGACTGAAATATTGTTAGTTTGTGTTGATCATAAACTTAATTATTTTTATTAACGTATCAAAAATTGAATTGACTGAAAGTCAACATAATTGTTAATAATATCTTATTGAAAAATACGTGTTTTGTAATTCTTGAAATATATAATTAAGGAATAATATTTATATTTTTGTGATAATTCTTATAATGTAGTTCAATAATCCTTTTGTATTTATGTTAGGAATGTTGGGTACTATTGAATATTTCGTATTATTAATATCCCTCAAGAAAACTTTAGTTGCATAATACCTTAATAAAATAAAATATTATAAAACTATACTTATACTTAATAATTTACTTTATTTAAAATAAAGAAGTCTATATATCTAATCATATTTGACAATAATTAATTAGAAAATAATGATTAATTTAAATCAATGATTAAATATAATTAACAGACCCATTTTGTATATTTTTAATGTTATGTATAAGTTTTCTATAAGAAAAAAAATGATACGAGAAAAAATTATGAATGCTATTTCGGAAACTATTTCATTATTAATTTAACTAGTTGGTAAATTGTGGTTGTTAGTCAGTGCCGATAATAACAATAGGAATAACTTGAAGTTTGTTGCGTAAACTTAAAGGTAACTTGTTTTCATAAAAATAATATTTTTATAAGTAATAAGAGAAAGGACTGCATATACTGCATTACTTACTGTATGCAAAAACAGGTTCGAATCAAGTTGTTATGATAATAATGGCAAGAACTGGAAATGCATCACATAACACAAAACACTGTGTTATTCTTCAAAAGCATTAGTAAAAATTAATTGCTTTTAGCTTCGCATCGAAGCTGAGAAAGTATTGATATTACTGAATTCTACTTATTTTCCCATCCTCAAAAATTAAAAAAATTATCCTGAATTTTTTTTTTCAAGGAAAATATCTCAAAAATTACTATCTTTAAAAACGGCCGACATTGATTTTATTTTTGCAAATTTTAATGATCATATTTTTTTTTAGATAGACTGAAAAATAAAGAAATTTTTTTTATATAAACTAGACATAATAATGTCATAATAATGATGTTATTTTTTACAAGTGAAAACCTAACAATAGGAAGGGTTTGAACAGACTACCCATTTTTATCAAACATTTTTTCAACTTAATTTTTGAATACAACTTATATTAAATTAAAAATTGTAAACAATGTATAATTAAAAGAAAAACATACCAATCGATAGTGTACTATGTGACATGGAAAAAATACGTTTTATTCTAATTTTTCTCTATTATTTTTTTTTATATAAAAAATATTTCCTAATAGAAATTAATCCATTTGCATCAAAGCGTTTTAATTTTATGATAGTGATGTAAATCACTGTTAGATACCAATCTACACTGGAGTCTACTGTGTTGGGTACCGACCTTGCTAGGACTTTTGTTTACTTTATTTATTAATTACATTATTATGAAATTTTAGCTTTATGCATACAGTTATTGTTATTTTATTAGTGAAATAATTAAAAATACAAATTCTGAATCGTATTATACGTTAATTAAAAAATACATTTCATAAATTAATGTCATAATCGATCTGAAATAAAATTTATATATTTTTATTGGAAATGCATTATTATTATGGATAATGATGATATTAGTAATTTATATAATTAATTAAATAATTATTATGAATTATATTAATGCATTTAATCTTTTTAAACCTTCAAAAAATCAAATTCGAAATTTCTGTAGTGCAATTAATCTAATAATATCTTCATAGTAGGAAAAATTAGGTCAAATTTAAATGTAAGGTACATTTTTATACGCTAGTAACATACTTACAGTTTACTTTAAAACATTTTTCTCTTGTTTTTTCATAGAAAACTAAATATTTTTTTCAATTCAAATATTTTCCGAAATACGAACAAATAAAAAAAAATATGTGTCCTTTCCAAAAATATGGGTTTATTTCGGTCAATTTTGACTTTTTAAAAAATTTTTAAAGTTTTTATAGACTATGAAAAATACTATCTAATAACGTTTCTTTATATTTTTTGGAAGCATAATCTTGGTTAGAAATAAATTGAAAAAAAAAGTAAAGATCTTTTAGTTTTTGACAATTTTTTAAGTCAAAGGGAACTGCAATTTTTTTTTAATTATTAAAAATTAACTTAATAAACTATGATTCAAAATCAATTTGGAAAAAACTTATGCATTTTTGATTTTGCTACATAACTTTGAAATATCCTTAAAAATGAGAGTGGGTTGCCAAAGTGACATGAGCAGTAATGTACAAATGTATCTCCATTCATCTATTATAATATCATTTTTATGTTCATCCCTTATGTGTTATAGGGGTATAAACTTAATTTTTTATCATATATATACAGGGTGGCCCACCACTCACTGATAACTTAAACGCTATCTTTTCATGATTATTGTGTATACATATGATGATAATGTGTATACATTACAAACTTGGCATTAATACCATGATAAGAAATTAGATAAGGCAATCATTACTTATCACTCTCATTCAAAAGTATATTGAAAAGATAGCGTTTTCTTCTGTCCTTTTCTCAATATGTATTTCAATGTTTAAACCGTAAAATAATACATGAAAATTCAAATTTTCACAAACTTCAAAACGCTACAGAATATTTACTACTGAATATTAATGAGATATTTTTTTACTAAAATTTTTCTTAAATTCTACTCTACAAAATAGCTATCTTAGATTTTTTTTTTACATTTTATTTAATATTTAAAAATAAATAATATTTTTAATAAAATGTAAAAAAATTAATTATTGAGATATAGCTATGGACCTAATGTATAACTATTATTTAAAAAAAAAATCAGCTAAAAATATTAACTGGATCAAAAGTTATTTAAGTTGTCAGTGAGTGGTGGACCACTCTGTATATATATATATATATATATCTAACTTATAATACAGAAAATTATGTAATTCAGAAAATGACAACTTTGGATTAGTATTTTTCTCAATTAAATAAATTTCTATTTAAGCTAGTTAAATATTTATGTTGTCATTTAAAAAATAAAGTGCCACTCTTATGTCATATGAAAATTTTGTGCATATGAATGTGAGATGTGCATTTTAAAGAAAAGGTAATTTTGTTAAAATATTGATAACATATTTATCTAGTTTGATCAAATAAAAGTAATCTTGTTGAAAAAAAAAATTTATTTATTTATTTGTTTATGCGACAATTAAATTATGTACAACCCTATAATTGGGTAAATTTGTATTAATATATGGTTCAATATAAGAGCTTTCAAATTAAAATTCATTTAATTGCTGAGTTGTAGAATAACGTAAAAATGTGCGTAAACATTTAAATGTTTACGCACATTATAAGTTAGAACATGTCAAAAAGAATATTTTTATAATATATAATTTTATCTACACAAGTAAAGCTAACATATATTAAATAAATTAACTTATATATCACATTCAGTGGAAAAATTTCATAAGCATATAAAAAATATACTTCCACTGAAAAATTTAATCTGTTTAAGAATTTATAAGACAAAAAATGGTAATTCATGTTATAGTTATAAAGTCAGATATCAAGTTTTTGTTATACAAGTAATATTATCAAATTAAATTTCAAGGTCATTAATTATGCTGAGCTACCTACAGGTCTCAGACATAAATAGAAAGTATATATTTGCTCGTGCTATGTGATCCTTAAATTATATAGGTTTACATGTATATTTGAATAAATCGTATATTTAATTGCATCAATATTTAAAATAATTATCATATTGAAGCTAGTAGGAATTCTAAATGAAAATGTTGCATTTAACACTTTTAAGAAGGTTATATATTCCTTCTCAGAGGTTCTCTAATATATACAGAGTATTTAGACCTCTTATAACTTTTGATCCAATTATCATTTCACTGTTATTTTTTAGATTTCTTGCGTTGTTGAGAAACTATTAGTTCTACTCTGCTGTATTTTTTGTGTCAGTATACGCGATAACTTCGGTCCTACTTAATCTATTTTCCTCGTGAACTAGATTCCTTTAGACTGGCTTAAGGAACAAAACATAGAACAGGATAAAATAAATGTGCTTATTAATTGAAAAAGTTATGTAAAATTTCAAAATATTTTTCAGTTTCAAAATGAATTTTATAAGCATTCTGAGTGCACAGTAATGGGAAATCCGCTATCTCCATTTTTAGTAGAACCTTACACGAGTAGGTTTGAAACAAATTTAAAAAACACCTATGGTGTTTAGTGATAACATCACTAGGGGATAACATAACTATCTATAAGGGGAATAAAGGTATAATAGGAGGTATTTTTCGGTTAAGGTGTCAGTATGTGTTAGCGTTGATAATTGTTTTCAATATACATATCCGCGATATTTTGGTTATTTTTTTAGTGACTCTATGAATTAAATATTTTTAATATAATTTTAATTTTAAATTGAAATAATTTTTTGAAAACTAGATGGATTACTGAGAATTTTTTATTAATAATATTTTAGTAATATTTATACCGATGACACGTTTTTAAAAATATCAAATGAATAACCAAGAAAAAGGTTTCTGGCAAGAAATTAAAAAGGAAATATGTTCTGACGATTTGTGTTCTATCAGTAATCGTAATTACTAAATTAGAAGCCGCGGCCTCTAAAATTGAAAAACTATTGATGGATATGATAGTGATTTTTAAATCGCTCTATTGAATAATGTATGGATTAAAATGGAATAATCTTATTTCCAACATTCTTTTTTTGATAATACTATAATTTACTTACACTTACAAGCTACTGCAAGATAGTATAATCATCATTTCGTATTTATTTCTTCTCAATTTTTATTAATGATCCAAAAAATCTATNTACTGCAAGATAGTATAATCATCATTTCGTATTTATTTCTTCTCAATTTTTATTAATGATCCAAAAAATCTATATTAAATTTAAAGTTAATACAATGTATTTTAAGATGAACAAAGATAATAACTATTCGAAATCTTAATTTCTATGAATTATCGGGTATTAAAATCATATAATTTTCAATAGAAGTGGCTATTTTGAAGTGTTTTGAATAGTAACCATATACCTAAAATATTCTATACATAATCAAATTAAAGATTTTTTAATGGATTTAACTAATAAAAAAAAAATATTTCTCACCGAATTTTCTTCTGAGATCCTTACTATAAACTTAAAATTTTTAGAAAATATGAAATATTTAATTTTTAATTTTTTTAAATACACATAAAATGTTTCAATTTTACTTCACTTAACTTTTGACACGGCCCGCGTCGCTTCGTTATACACGATGCCCCGCGACTCGTGCCACCTTTATCAGCCGTCGCCTATTTTATGAGTATTTGACTGACCAACACCGCGTGCCATACGCCACGGTGCAAAGTCCAGCAAATGCCGCACGGCCGACGACGACCCGCCGCAAATGGTGCGGTAGTCTTCCTCCCGTTGTGAAAGCGACAACGTCGACCAACCGAACCGCACCCGCGCACCGTCGCCTACAACGCTGCTAACCTTTTGCCGCCCAAGGACCACGCCGGACATCACGTCGTCGACGGCAGCGAAAGTGTCGCGATATTTTCGGTTTGTTTTATTTTTGTCAAAATAATCTGTTGTCGCTCATTTAGTAAACGGCCCACGGGTCTCTACCCTCAAAACCAGTGTCGACCACATTTTTGCGACGTAAGTCGTGTCACTTTTTAAAGTTTTATTGTTTTTAATAGTATTGAGAAATATCAATTTTTGTTTTTTTATTTAAATTTACAATAACAATATGAAAAAAAATAATAATTTAATAATTTATTAATTATTTAATCAAAAAAAATGTATTATTTTTTTAATTTATTGAATAATTTTTAAAATATTTATTTTATTAATTGGATATTCTAACCATACATATCAGGGGGTATAAGAGGTATACGTGTTATATCATTTTTTTTTCTTGTTCGCTTTTGACACGAGAGTAAGAATTTCTCTCTCAAGAATAAAATAAAATATATTTTTATTTTATTTTAAAATAATCATTTTTTAAAGAAATTTGATGGGTTTATAACAATTTTAGGACGATTACTTATTGAGATACTCACATTCTAATACACAGAGTGGGTATTCAGCGTGGGTGGTATAGCCTGTATAAGTTTATATATGTATTTATAGAGGCATTATCATTGAATTTATTGTAATTCACAATAAAATGTTCAAAAATTCGAAACCTACGAATTTATATATTCAGGTTATTCGGTGTGAAATGACACAAATACATAATATAAATATAAAATGAATATTTTTAAATTTAGTCTTCTGATTATACAGAGTAATTGATTAACTACGACTTACGCAAATATTTTTATAATAAAGATTAATATATTTAATGATCTTAACTAAAAGTAGTTTTCGACCAGTATTTTCTTGGATAAATCATTTCATAGTTTGTAAGTTGGTTAAACACGTATGATTTAATTAAAAATGCCAGAATTGATAAAACTTTAAAGAGAGATAGAAACAAGTTTTTTTTTGAAATTATAGAACATAAGATATTATTAACTTCTAAAAATAAAAAGTAATATTATATTTTAAAAGATATTAAGTGAATCACATCACTCTGTACTCTCTAATTAAAGATTATGTAAGATTTAGTTAAAAACAATAATTGCAGAATAATAAAATAAGTCAAAACGCCCAATTTTTTTTTAATTAATATGGTATTTGCGTTTATAACCTTCAATTAATTCATTTTAAGTGTAATACTTTTATTGTGTTTATAACCCAACTACTGTAATATTTACACTAATTTAACGGAGGTTTAGTTTAACACAGATACAAATACCTAGTGAAATAAACCGATAGTATCAGTAATTATAAAGTTACGCTTTATGGATTTCATTTAAGTTCAGCATATTTGCATGTACTCGTGTTTATTAGAAAAAGTGTAAAAATTTAGTGATGGAACGTGCAGAAACCCATCAACCGCAATAACATTAGATTATGATTTAATTTCAAGTTAACTTAGTAATAAATTCTCTCGTAAAAAATGTAATAAATTCCTTAAAATTCATAGCGTTACAAGAATTCATAACTTTGAATACTCAAAAAAAAAAAAAACGGTAACATAGTAAGGTTGCAGCACAGTGTGGACATAGTTATAGCATAGTTGGGTCAAGTATAGATGATATCTTACAGTGATTAAATTAATATCATAAGAAATGATTCGATGCAAATCTGTAGATAGTGTTTACTTTTATGAAATTGGTGGATTATTCCAAAAGCTACATTTTCTCCTATTGCCTTATTTAAATCCTGAAAACAAGTTTTATGATTTATAAGTGTAATATATGAATGAATAAATAAATAAATATATATACATATATTTAAAAAAAAAAAGTATGTCGAATAAAAGTGGGATTAAATATTATTTATCATAAAAATTTTATAGATCCATACACTTTTTAATAAGTTATAGCATTATAATGTTAAAAATATAAAATATAAAATCGAGAGTTTTCACACAAAAATAGCATTTGGTAACTATTTACACCGTGAAGATAAAATAAAGTCTGAAATTTTTTTATTTCATGATAAATTATATTAGATTAGCTTTAATTTAAGATATATATAAAAGTGTCAGACTTTCCGAAACACTTTTAAAAGTTGTCATTTTTGTCGCAACACAATAAAATAAAATGGAACAAGTGTAAAAAGGAATTGTGATGCGAAGATGAATATGAGGATGTGGTGCCTGCTGTCTAGGTATTCACGTGCGTGTTGTCGTACAGCAGTCACCGTGCTCGGCTGACATTCCGGGTTAGCTGTGGGTGTCGAAAGGCTGTTGTTATAGGGAATCAGGGTAACACCTAGGTATGAGGTGCAGACGAAGTGCAAGACACAAGTACTTTAGTTATTAGGAGAGGATAATGAAGTACGAGGTGCAGACGAAATGCAAGACACAAGTACTCTGAAATGTTGTGGAAGAGAGTAGATAGGTTTAAAAAGGAATAAACAAAGACTTTACTTTAAGCAGTAAGCCGGACAGCGACAACCGAGTACTGAGACTGATGAATGACACAAGGCACTGGAGTCGACTGACCACGATGGTCAGGTCTATTGGGTTTTTATAATAATTAGAACTATTGCCGATTTGGCAATAAATATTATTTGTTAATTCATCAGTCTCAGGCAGCGGATGTGCTGTCTGTATTTTATTAAAACAATTCTCACGATATTGGTAACAAGACACCATCATATTTTAAATCCCCCCTGTGGGAAGGTAAATGGTCATATTTATAAAAAATATATACTGAATGATAAGTAAAGACTCTATGCATCTATAAAAAAAAAGTTAAATTGATTTGGTTATTTTTAAAAAAGTTATGGCAGTTTTAAGTTAAAAAAAATTTAAAAATTTAATTGATTAAGATAAAGTATGTCGAATTAAAAAGGGATTATTAAAAAATATTATTTCTCATAAAAAAATTATGTTGATCCATACACTTTTCAATATGTTATAGCATTATAAAGTTAAAAATGTAAAAATAAAATCGAGAATTTTCACATAATAATAGAATTTGGTAGCCATTTTCACCGTAAAGATAAAAAAAATAAAAAACCCAGCACAGGGGAGTCGCGGCACAGTGGTGACGTGGCATAGATAGATCAAGTATAATGATATCTGACAGTGATTAAAATCACTATCAAAAAAAAAACGCTTCGATGCAAATCTTTAGATAGTGTTTAATTTTAAAAAATTGGTGGATTATTCCAAAAGCTACATGATCTGCTAGTTCATTATTAATATCCTAATTAAGATAAAGTATGTCGAATGAAAAAGGGATTATTAAATAATATTATTTCTTATAAAAAAATAATGTTGATCCATACACTTTTCAATATGTTATAGCATTATAAAGTTAAAAATGTAAAAAAAAAAATCCAGAATTTTCACATAATAATAGCATTTGGTAGCCATTTTCACCGTGAAGATAAAATAAAGTCCGAAATTTTTTTTTACCATAATAAAGTATATTACATTAGCTTTAATTTAAGATATATATAAAAGTGTCAGACCTTCCGGAACATTTTCAAAAGTTAAGTTGAAAAAATTAATTTTTTATAAAAAAGTTGTCATTTTAAATCCCCCCCTGTGGGCAGGTAAAAAGTCAGATTTATGAAAAAAATATACCAAATGTAAGATAATGATATTATGCATATATATAAAAAAGAATTATATTGACATCTTCATTTTTAAAAAAGTTATGGCAATTTTAAGTAAAAAAAAATGAAAAAATATCGACAATGAGCGATTTTTAAATTTGTAATTTTTTTGGAGGTTTCTCCCATTTACGGGGAACGAGTGAATTTTTTTCAATTTTTGAGGGTAATGTCTTCGACTAGATACGGTTTGTTATCTTTTGACGTATCATTGAAAGAATGGGGATAAAATTTACATCAAACTAGCTACTACTTTTTTGAAACATTAACAATAAACGTTTTAAACATTGAATTGAAGAAAACATTATTTAAAACAATATAAGTCAAATTTTTTTACAAATGTATGTATTTTTTAATAAATGCTTGTTTTTAGTTTTATTATGAGACATTAATGAATTGTAAAAGTCTTAAAGAAATATATATTTAAAAAGCTGTAAAAATCTTTAAACACCTCAGTAGGGTGGTCCTTAATCATATAAGAAGAAATTTTTTATTAATATTTTTTACACAGTACCCTCTAGATTGATTAAATACTATTAAATTGTAATGTAGGTAAAATTTGGAAATTTTTATTCAACCCCTTCTGGTGCCGCATTAGGGTTGAAATATGGCACTTGATGGTTGTTTTTGCTTTTTTTGTGTTTAACTCGACAACTATTACACTTAGCGCTAAAATGAATAGAATATTAATTATAGAACTTATTATTGCCTACAAAAAAGAAAATTACAATATTTTTCATAAATCCATTATATTTTGAGAAAAATTTAACATAAATATATTTTTTTAAATATTTTAATATTTTTACTGAGTGGTTGAAGTTTCATCGAATTTTTCCTTTAAAATTGGTTTTAGTAATATTTCCTAAAAAAACTCATATTATATTTCACGTTAGTGCAATTATATATTGATGTATTAGAATTTATGGCGCAAAAATCAAATATCAGTTTACCTGTACTGTTCTAAATGCTATACTTATTATTTTGAACGTGTGAAATTTACTGTGATTATCCATAGAAGATAAGAATTGTGGCATTATTATTGTTTGTGTAATAATAGGTAACGATAAAAGTTCTTACCAATAATCATTTTTCATGGACTAATATCAGATA